TCCTCCCGCTCGAGGTCCTCGCTTGGCTCAAAGTCGGGTCGAATTAGCGTCCGTTCTCCTTCGTCAAAGGGGTCCACAAGCGTTTCGCTCGCGGTTCCGGCCTCGGCGCTCCGCCTTTGATCGCCATCGAGGTTTTTCTCGCTCCTTAGTTTCATTTCGCTCACTGAAAGATCAGGTTGACCTTTAGTCGATTCGGTTTCGGCAAACACGTCGGAGGCGCTGCTAAACGAGGACTGACTACGCCTAGTTTTAAATTTTCGCGTGCTGCCCTTGATCAGCCTGGGAATCTTAGTAGTCGATCCTAACGAGTCCCTGCGCTGCATGCTTTGTGACAAAAAACAATATTCGTATGAATTAATGGCGATGCACACGTACCTCGAACAAGTTCAAGTTAAATTACTTAACGCTGCCTCTTCGATCTCGTAAGTATCAAGAATGTCTCTTAGGTTTCTCAATGACAATCTTAGTGACTCAGCTACAGTTACACACACAGGGCCTGCTCAGTATTGATATAATGCTAACTCAACCCTGTTGTATAGTATAACAGTATCACAAAATTTTCACAAGATATAATCAACACACAAAACACAATCGATAGTCAGATAAGAATATCCTACAGGTGACAGCGACCTTTTGTCAGTATCAATTTATTGCCACACAATTTATCAAATCACTGCTTTGTTAAAATTAAACAATCTTTGATAAAAAGCAGTGATGATTCAGAAAAAGATCAATAAAACTTAGTCTTAAAGAAAAAGACTTTCCTCAATCGGAACGATCCGAAAGAACAAAGCCCAGGACACAGTCTTCTCAAGTGGGTGTGTATTTGCCTAATACACCCACATAGGTCTTCTTGTAGGTGCCCTGCGATTGCCCGAGCTGTCCTACTAAGTAGCTCAAGGCAACCTCTGATCGAAAATTTCTATAGTCTAAGAAAAAGCTCTCCCACACCCGGAGTGCTCCAAGTGCACGAGAGTAGGGAACAACTTTTCTTCTCAAGTGATTGTGTATTTGCCTAATACACTCACCAAGGTCTTCCTTTATTTGTTCCCGGATTACCCGAACTTTCCTATTAAGTAGCTCAAGGCAACCACGCAACCACACAAATTTTTTTTTTATTCGGGTACTTCTGATACACCCGATCTAGAATCCAAAGTTGATCACAAATTTCCGGGTCAAAATGGGCTCTTATGATCCTAATAAGGACGCCTAATATCCTAATATGATCTTAATTAAATGAATATTTTCCGTTTCCCAAATTGCCACAGAAGGTTTCCTCAAGTTTCTAACAAGGAAGGTTGTTTAGAAGGTTTAGGACACTCCGGAGGGTTACTTCGGAGGGTTGTTAAGACACTTAGCCTACCTCGGAGGGTTACTTCGGAGGGTACCTTAATCACCCAAGTTACCTCGGAGGGTCCCCTTAAATTTACTAAGGAGGGTCAATAAGATGCTTAATATGCTCCGGAGGGTTACTTCGGAGGGTACCTCCAAAATTTTCAAATTTCTGAACTTCACTTAGAAGGGCCTTCAATTAGCTTCAGTGAGCGTCAAAACAAGCTAAATTCTCTATGGGGGGGGGGCTATTTTAACTTTTTTGGATGATCTCGTGGAAGTTTTCCACTAAGGAGGGTTGCTAAGGGCTTTAGCTGACTACGGAGGGTTACCTCGGAGGGTTCCCCAAAAATCAAGAAAAAAGGTTATGTTACCGCGATAAAGTCTCCAAAAGCGGTCCACCTGACTTAAAACTAGATTGGCTGACACGGTCAACCTTCCCAGTTGGATAAAAAGGTGTTTTGGTAAAATTTTCTGCCGCTCGGAGGGTTACCTGTGATTTGGACCCTTCGAACCAACAAATTCTAAAAAAATTTTCTTTTCCGAGATTATCAACCCAAAAACGGTTGCAGTCCGGAAAAGTGGTCCAAAACGTCGACTTATGGTACTAAAATTATCCCGATCGGTTGGCTAGTCTTTGAGAAATTGCCAAAAACGTGTTTGTCCAACTGGCCTTTTTCCACCACCTATATAGGTTCTGAGAGACTTTTTCCGCAATTCCTATTGAAAGTGCCTAAAAACAATCGAAACGAGCGTATTAGCCCTGTACGGCACTGGAATTATGCAAAAAACCGGACCAAAATTGGTTTGGAGACAAAAATTTGGCCAATAACTATCAAATTTGGACCCTCCGATTCCTTCCTTTTCCAATCCTTAAGTCGTTAGCTCTATCTACGGAGCTAATCGGAGGGTTACTCAAGAATTTTTCTGGCAGCCGAGCACGTTATGCTAGCACGCTCCTAACACAAAAAATTTTATTACTCAAACTCTAAAAACTCAAAAACTCGATCCCCAAAACAGATTGACAAATTTCAGAAAATTATCAAAAATTTGATCGAAAAACTTTGGTTTTTTCCAACTTTTACTGAGTCTTTTCTCACGCAGTTTCTCTAGTTAGGTGGATTGAACTACGTAGCTACTCCCTATATAAAAGCTTTTTGCTGTTCGGAAAAGCTCGGATATCCAAAAATTTGGGGATCTACAGTTTGGTCGAAAATCGATAATTTTCGACAAAATTTGGGTGTTTCTTGGGTCTAATTAGGAGATAAGTAATATGTAATAAGGATAATAACCTATTAGTAGTCATTAATGAATAGTACTATACCCTCCTTTGCACCAAAATACCCGAATTAAGACCCTTAACTCGGAAATTTGTAATCGACGGAGGGTACAATCGGACCGCGCCAATCGTGCCCCCCACCACTTAAGTTTTAATGAAATAGTACCCGAACGATACTAAAATTGTTTCAACGATACCCAACAGTCGTTTTGGATGTTGTCTCTATGTCCCTGTTGAGTGTGGAACACGTCGGTCAGCTTGCCACTCTACCCTCCGGTCACCGGCAAAATCACCATTAACGTGCTTAAATACTCAAATTACACTCAAGGGAGGGTATCCAACCCTTCACCAAAACACACAATCTTTCTATCAGAAACGATATAAATCAAGCTGAAACAACAACAAATAGGAAAGTCAGATCACATCTCGTCCGGAAATAACATATAAACTGTCACTTTACGTTTTTTACTGTTTTTGGTCTTTTTTGGATTTTTTACTGTTTTTTGTACTTTTTTTTTGTTTTCAAATAAATTTGTTTTTGGCTTTTTCTTGGTTATACACTATTTTTGTTTGGTTTTACGCTTTCTCTTTTATTGTTTTTGGTCCTGGGACCTCGGGACAAGCGGGCTCTAGATTTCCCACCTAACCCTCCGGCCCCCGGAACTTTCGGTGTTAACTAAGTTAAAAAGCTAAATAGTACTAGACGGAGGGTACGCACCTTCCCCCTAGTACAATAACGGTCATTAAGGCCTCTAACTCGGGCATGCGCCCGGAGCGGAGGGTTCGTCGCTGAAACGCTTGCTGATCATGATGGTCTTATGCCTTTGACAGGCCCACTCAGGAGCGCCATAAAAACGTCTATGTAACATTCGCCCAAATACTACACAGCGACGGAGCGTAGAAAAAGTACCTATTAACGACTGGCAGGCGTCAGTTACCTTAATTCTACTCGTTTTTCACCGTCTCGACCTTGTCAGTTGATTTTCTGGTCTGTTTAGGGCTAAGTAAAAAGTTACTATTTTTAGGCCATCAGTCAAACGACTTTTGATCAGCTTTCGTTAACATGCGAACACAACCACATAGCTGAGTCTCGGATCATCAGACTACATGATTGCCATTAAAAACACGGCTCGAACAACCTATTTTAATATGTTTTTGTGTGACAGTTCTATATTAAATCCATTGGAGATGGATTGACCCTTTCCTCTTTCTAGCTACTCATATTCTAAAATATCAAATTATACCGGTGTTAATTCAGACTTCTACGACATCCAAGTAGCTACAAAGTTAGTTTTTAATAGTCCCTTCACATAAAACAGTCTCTGGGGGACCAAGCCTCCGCTCCCGTAATCTTCCTGAGATAACGTCCTTATCTCTTCCAATTTGTGGCACGGGAGGGTTCCGTGGAATATTCCTTCCCCACTGAAGCTTCCTTCTCCACTAATATCCTCTGTTAAGAGTCTTATCGTGTGTTGTTGCCACGATAAGAGGCTTCGTATTTTTCGTCTCTTGTGCGACCGTTTTCCACAATATTTGTCGTTGTTCTGTTTTTTCGTCGTTTTTCGTCAAAATGGCCGTCTTATTCTATTTCTCAGAAATATTCACTCTTCAATCGAAATTTTAAAAATAAAATTTCTAGAATATTCCTACCCTCCTTCGCAATACTTTTTCGTTACAAAGGCCTTTATTCGTTTTTTTTTCGTGTCGCCGGAAGGTTGCGCTGTGCCATCTGGCAGAATGGCACAGGTAAGCAGCTTTTGTGGGATGTAACGGTAGTAGACTCCTTAGCTCCTTGTAGGATTAATGCCGGGTCTGTTTGTAACCCTGGTACGGCTGCCGCTGAAGCGGAAGAGCGAAAAATTGACAAGTATAAAGATCTTGTAAATGATGGATATCTTTTTCAACCGCTAGCTTTTGAAATTCAGGGCGCGGCCGGCCCCAGCACAGAAGTTTTTTTGAGCAAGCTTTGTAAGAACCTAAGCATATGCACTGAGGAACCCAGAGCAGGCAGCTTTTTAAAACAGAGAATCTCCCTGGCAATACAGATTGCGAACGCCGCTTGCGTACTCGGAACAATAAATGACAAAATAACTTTCGACGAAATTTTTTACTTGTAACACTTGTATATTATATTATCTCGTGTCGAGTTGCGTGTTCTTATTGAAGAAACGTAACCCGTATCGATTTTAATTGAAAAGGACTTAAACACTTGTCATCTTCTTTTATCATTATCACTTCCATATCTAGAAAATTCCAAGGATTTTTTCTGGAATACATGATGAAGGGACTCATGACTGTAACCTCGGTTACTATGATACTTTTGACCTTCTGATTACCTTTCTAATATCGCAAGCTTAAGCTTCGCATCTGTGTGGCTATCCTACAGAAACCATCGTGTGCTCTTTCCTGTTTTTTAGATGGGGTGAATTAAATATGACTGAATTGCAAGAACATGATGACAACGCAACAATTAATGAAACAGAAACGGACAACGAAAATGTTTTAGTGGAAAGAAACGGCGAGTTTTTGGTTGGAAATGATAATAGAAATGAGAAATTTGAAAATGAAGGCAGCAATGGCGGTCAAACGAGGGAACCAGACGCTCAGTCTGAAAGTGAGTTGCGAGAATACGCGGATGAAAATGAAGTCATTCAAAATGAAGGTGTCAATGGCGATGCTATTCCAGAAGAATTGAGTACCACGGAACACCAGAATGTTGATACATATGCTGAAAGCAGAACGGGAAAAACAGAAAAAACTGTAAAAAACCGGTCGGAGAAAAGCTCAGCTATTTCCTCTCCCACGACAATAAGTTTTAAAAGCGAAAAGTTAGTTTTGTACCAAGAAAAATATTAAAATGTGAAGTCTAACGTGTTCGGAACTATGTCCATCGTAAGGTTAATAGAACAGTTAGTTTTGTACGCTTTTAAAGAAAGTTAAATCATGCAAATACCTAATTCTGAGTAAAACTGGCATCATTTTATCAGAAACATTAAAAGTATTAAGTGTACCTGGTTTATTGTTCCGACCATTTGAACAATTCAAGCAAATAAAGCGAGTGAGCAGGCCTTGAAAATAGTTTTATTCGAGTAAAGTTAATTTTTTTAACCCGATTTTGAAATATAGAAAAAATTCAAAAAATATCTGCAAAAAAATATGAAATTTTATTTAATTTTTTTGTTTTTTGTCATTTTTCTACAAAACCTGTTGATTTTTTTGTTTTTTTTTGTCATTTTTCTACAAAACCTGTTGTCCAATTCGCCTAGTTTACTATGTCTGTTGAAGATGATGAGTCTGTTACTATGCCTAAATCGTAGTTTTTCGTTCGGATCTTTTTATCACACCACGCAGAAAAAGCGACACTAATTTGGAAAAAAATTTGTAGTTTTTTAAGACTATCGTCGGAACATTCTGTGCTACTTGCACAGAAACGAGCTGTCCTTGTTACTGAATTGTTGTTTTTGAAACCTAATGTTTTTCCCGTGTAATTTCGACCTTGTTTTGTAGAAGTAGAACTTTGGAGATGATCGAGGACGCAAGAAAAGAACACGCCAGAAAAATGAAACGTCAGAGAGATGCAGCTCGGAAACAACAAGAAGTATGCTTTTTTAAATTTTGTTTGAGACTTGAAAAAATATTGAGAAATTTAATTAAAATTGTCAGATAATTCTTTTTAAAAACCTGTGTATATTGCATTCGGGAACCAAGTCTGTTACAACATGCGAGTCAGCTAGCGAGCGTAGTTTTGCATTACATATCCTTTTTCTCATCCAATTTGCAAGTAAATGGGCTCATTTCTAGGCACTTATGCTGCAGAATCTGGTGAATTTAAAAGCAGTTGTTCTATATGCTTCGTTGTTGGCTAGTGTTTGTCAATTGTTCAGTGACCATTGTGCAGATGCGATAGCCTTATACTTATGAACTCGAGATCGGTTGTTCGACTCCAGCACATCGCAAAAGTTTTGTTTTTCACGGTTTTTTTACCTTTTCTTTTTTCAATAATTAAGTGTAAAAGAACGGAATGATTTTCACTTATATAGGTTGCGCTAATTTTTGTTCAGGGAAGTTTGTTCGCGCTTAATTTGTGCTTTTTTTGCGATTGAGTTTTGATTTTTTTTAACTTCAGTTCATTTCCTATGTTAAAAGGAAGGTAGGCTCCATTAGTGAACAGCAAAAGTGCAAGGGTAACAGAAAACGTGAATGATTTCTAGTTTTAAAAATGGACTTTAATTTTCCAAGCGAAACAAAAGGTTATCTGTTGATCCAATTTTCTCTAAATGGGATAAATCAAAGAAAATTGTGCCAATCGTTAACATTTCTTGAAATTTAAAGAGCTTTAACGAAGTTTTTCGAAAGTTGAAAAGTTTTCAAAAATTTTTACCAATTTTTTGTTTCCACAGTTTTTCAGAATTAGATTTTATTTTCCCAATGAATTTTATTCACTGGCACTCAGCTTATGTTTTTATCCAAGCGAGTATACTGTCATATTACGAATCCACTTTTTTGTAACCAAACTCGCTAATATAAGTACTCATATGGTGCCACTTTCGCTGTGTAGAATTGGCAAGTTTTTTTATTCGTAAAATGGCGCTAAAACATCGAAGTTTAACTCTACCTATTTAGAACTAAGTGTTCAATGCTTGAATTAAGCATAAATAGGCTATTACAAGCCCGATTGTTCGCTTAACGCTCGATTTTAGCTTAAAAATTAAAAGTTTTAAATCTGTTTTTCCCTCAATACTGGGACAGTTGTTTGAAGTTTGTTAAATGTCATTCGTATCAGGACCGAGAGGGCTTCATTATGATATATGATTCGACCCATTCCGATGTTTGTTTGTGGTTCCTGATTTTGCGTGAAAATCAAAAAAAAAGAAAAAACTGAATCACATATGGAAACAAAGTTCCTCCCCAATTTTCAAATGGCCCGAGCAATGAGCTTGTGAAATCCATTTAACTCGATCAAAATTGCTTTCCAATATAAGATTGGAAACTGTGAGGAAAATCTCGCCTAATTTTTAGTTTTAAAACTTAATTTTTGTTTGGATATGAGTCATAAATGTAGTGAATACTCTAATGTAGGTCTTGTATTTTACGGTTTGACTTAAAATTTGTTTTTCGTTCCGTTCATTTCCTTTGTTGAAGGGAAGGCAAACTCCACTATCGAACCGCAAAATAGTAAAGGTCACAAAAAGTTTGATCGATTTGTAGTATCGAAAAAGGATTTGCTTTTCAGGTTTCCCAGCGGAGTAATAAAAATTACCTGTTGATCCAGTTGGCTGAAATTTGGTTTAATTTAAGTTTATTTGAATCTTGGTTTTTAAATTGCCCTGGTTCATTTTTTTCTTTGAACTTCGAAAATCAGTCGATATTTTTTTTTACTGATTCCGAGTGTTCGTTAACTTTTAACCAACTGACTGTTAGTAAAGTTTTACGAATATCCAACTCAGTGGAGAAATTATCTGATTCAAATTTCTTAAAACAGCTAGTTAGTGAAAGTATAGGGATATCAAAGTTCAATCATTACACTTGCGAAGCAATGGCGATGCTATTCCAGAAGAATTGAGTACCACGGAGCTCCAGAATGTTGATACATACGCTGAAAGCAGAACGGGAAATACAGAAAAAAACTGTAAAAAACCGGTCGGAGAAAAGCTCAGCTATTTCCTCTCCCACGACAATAAGTTTTAAAAGCGAAAAGTTAGTTTTTTACCAAGAAAAATATTAAAATGTGAAGTCTAACGTGTTCGGAACTATGTCCATCGTAAGGTTAATAGAACAGTTAGTTTTGTACGCTTTTAAAGAAAGTTAAATCATGCAAATACGTAATTCTGAGTAAAACTGGCATCATTTTATCAGAAACATTAAAAGTATTAAGTGTACCTGGTTTATTGTTCCGACCATTTGAACAATTCAAGCAAATAAAGCGAGTGAGCAGGCCTTGAAATTAGTTTTTTTTCGAGTAAAGTTAATTTTTTTAACCCGATTTTGAAATATAGAAAAAATTCAAAAAATGTCTGCAAAAAAATTTGAAATTTTATTTAATTTTTTTTTGTCATTTTTCTACATATAAGTACTCATATGGTGCCACTTTTGCTGTGTAGAATTGGCAAGTTTTTTATTTGTAAAATGGCGCTAAAACATCGAAGTTTATTTCTACCTATTTGGAACTAAGTGTTCAATGCTTGAATTAAGAATAAATAGGCTATTGCAAGCCTGATTGTTCTCTTAACGCTCGATTTTAGCTTAAAAATTGGAAATTTTTATCTGTTTTTCCCTCAATACTGGGACAGTTGTTTGAAGTTTGTTAAATTTCATTCGTATCAGGACCGAGAGGGCTTCATTATGATATATGATTCGACCCATTGCCTGAGCAATGAGCTTGTGAAATCTATTTAACTCGATCAAAATTGCTATCCAATATAAGATTGGAAACTGTGTGGAAAATCTCGCCTAATTTTTAGTTTTAAAACTTAATTTTTGTTTGGATATGAGTCATAAATGTAGTGAATACTCTAATGTAGGTCTTGTATTTTACGGTTTGACTTAAAATTTGTTTTTCGTTCCGTTCATTTCCTTTGTTGAAGGGAAGGCAAACTCCACTATCGAACCGCAAAATAGTAAAGGTCACAAAAAGTTTGATCGATTTGTAGTATCGAAAAAGGATTTGCTTTTCAGGTTTCCCAGCGGAGTAATAAAAATTACCTGTTGATCCAGTTGGCTGAAATTTGGTTTAATTTAAGATTATTTGAATCTTGGTTTTTAAATTGCCCTGGTTCATTTTTTTCTTTGAACTTCGAAAATCAGTCGATATTTTTTTTACTGTTTCCGAGTGTTCGTTAACTTTTATCCAACTGTCTGTTAGTGAAGTTTTACGAATATCCAACTCAGTGGAGAAATTATCTAATGATTCAAATTTCTTAAAACAGCTAGTTATTGAAAGTATAGGGATATCAAAGTTCAATCATTACACTGGCGAAGCAATGGCGATGCTATTCCAGAAGAATTGAGTACCACGGAACACCAGAATGTTGATACATACGCTGAAAGCAGAACGGGAAATACAGAAAAAAACTGTAAAAAACCGGTCGAAGAAAAGCTCAGCTATTTCCTCTCCCACGACAATAAGTTTTAAAAGCGAATAGTTAGTTTTGTACCAAGAAAAATATTAAAATGTGAAGTCTAACGTGTTCGGAACTATGTCCATCGTAAGGTTAATAGAACAGTTAGTTTTGTACGCTTTTAAGGAAAGTTAAATCATGCAAATACCTAATTCTGAGTAAAACTGGCATCATTTTATCAGAAACATTAAAAGTATTAAGTGTAACTGGTTTATTGTTCCGACCATTTGAACAATTCAAGCAAATAAAGCGAGTGAGCAGGCCTTGAAATTAGTTTTATTCGATTAAAGTTAATTTTTTTAACCCGATTTTGAAATATAGAAAAAATTCAAAAAGTATCTGCAAAAAAATTTGAAATTTTATTTAATTTTTTTGTTTTTTTTTGTCATTTTTCTACATATAAGTACTCATATGGTGCCACTTTTGCTGTGTAGAATTGGCAAGTTTTTTATTCGTAAAATGGCGCTAAAACATCGAAGTTTATTTCTAACTATTTGGATTTAAGTGTTCAATGCTTGAATTAAGCATAAATAGGCTATTACAAGCCCGATTGTTCGCTTAACGCTCGATTTTAGCTTAAAAATTGAAAATTTTAATCTGTTTTTCCCTCAATACTGGGACAGTTGTTTGAAGTTTGTTAAATGTCATTCGTATCAGGACCGAGAGGGCTTCATTATGATATATGATTCGACCCATTCCGATGGTTGTTTGTGGTTCCTGATTTTGCGTGAAATTCAAAAAAAAAAGAAAACACTGAATCACATATGGAAACAAGTTCCTACCCAATTTTCAAATGGCCCGAGCAATGAGCTTGTGAAATCCATTTAACTCGATCAAAATTGCTATCCAATATAAGATTGGAAATTGTGTGGAAAATCTCGCCTAATTTTTAGTTTTAAAACTTAATTTTTGTTTTGATTTGAGTCATAAATGTAGTGAATACTCTAATGTAGGTCCTGTATTTTACGGTTTGACTTAAAATTTGTTTTTCGTTCCGTTCATTTCCTTTGTTAAAGGGGAGGCAAACTCCACTATCGAACCGCAAAATAGTAAAGGTCACAAAAAATTTAATCGATTTGTAGTATCGAAAAAGGATTTGCTTCTCAGGTTTCCCAGCGGAGTAATAAAAATTACCTGTTGATCCAGTTAGCTGAAATTTGGTTTAATTTAAGATTATTTGAATCTTGGTTTTTAATTTGCCCTGGTTCATTTTTTTCTTTGAACTTCGAAAATCAGTCGATATTTTTTACTGTTTCCGAGTGTTCGATAACTTTTATCCAACTGTCTGTTGGTAAAGTTTTACGAATATCCAACTCTGGAGAAATTATCTACTGATTGAAATTTCTTAAAACAGCTAGTTATTGAAAGTATAGGGATATCAAAGTTCAATCATTACACTTGCGAAGCATAGATTATTAGTACGAATTTTCTTTTTCTTTTTTTGAATAAGTAGGCTGATGTAGCAGTATACTTAATGTGCTTTGACATTTGATTAGTAAAAAAGTTAACACAGCTGATGCATTTTAATCATCAAATGAACCGAAAAAAGTTACTTGTTTCAATTAGCAGTAATTGATAAAAAAGCTCGATTTCAGAATTTTTCCAACTCACTGTAACTCGATATTTCTTTGAACTGCATAATTTGTACATAATTTGGCTGTATGCTTTCCAATTTATTACATGCAAACTTGTGTATTTTTGTATTTGGGGCAACTTTTGCTGCATCGAATTGTCAATATATTAGCATATATAGCTGCGTTATTGGTGGCTAGTTTTTTGGATTTTAAGCATTGGTGGCTGAGTGGTTGGTGCTTGAGACTGAAATTTGCTAGGTCGCAGATTGGAATCTGAAACGTAGCTGAGTTTTTGCTAATTCGGGGCTCATTTCTTCCTTTTATTTTTTCACTTGATAGATCTGCTTTTTGGCCGTGTTCTCGCAAGTGATTGCGAAGCGCAGCCTTGCCTCTTTGTAAAAGTTTCTTTAATTTGAAAAAGTTTTTTTTGTGGTATTATTGTTCTCTGATGTTCAAATGTTGTCCAATTAATTTTTACTGTTTTCTTTCGGTTGTTTTTCATCAAAAACGGTCAGTAGCTGATTTTTTTTGGGTGAGTGTAGTTTAGCGGACAAACCTCCATCCCCCCCCCCCCCCCCCCCCCAGGAATTTGACCCCCAGTGACCCAAAGAGTCCCCCTTTGTGCTATAAAGGGGAGTGCGTGCCTTATGGCCTTTTTTCAAAAATTTAGCTGTGGCGCAAAAAAATGGTCGAAATACGGTCTTCATAGTGAATTGCGAAAGCTCATGAAATCAATGAGGTCGACCTAAAAAATCCACCCCACCCTTCGCGAAAATCCTGGATCTGCCCCCTGAAAACGGTTTTGAGTGTAAAGAGATTTCTTTCAAGTTTTTTTTGTTCCTGCTCATTTTATGAGCACGTTTTGTTTTTGCGGCAGATACCGATTGAATTAGGCCAAGTTTTTCGTATTTTATGAATACTTTCTATTTCACCGTAAATTTTTCAAAAACTATCTGACCGTTGAGAAATCAAATCCATCCGTTCAGATTTTTTTGTTTTTCAGGAATTACAAGCCAAAGAAAAGGAGAGTCGAGCCATTTTTGACGAATGGTGTCGTCAGAAAGACCAAGAAGCGAGAGAAAAACGAAAGAAAGACCGACAGCAGCGCGAAAAGTTATACGAGGTAATTCCGTTTTCAACTGAAAAAGAAACTGAACTAAGTTTATCTGCCGTCTTGAATTAACATCACAGTGTTTTTGTTTAGGAAATCAATAAGGATGACAAGGTAAGACATCAGTGATTTTATCACTCAAACCCACGTTCGTTTGAAACATCATTTGTTTAAAATATTCTATATGATGGGACTATTCGTGACATCCACTGAGTTGCTTAAATAAGAAAAGTTGGACTCTCTCATTTGTTTTCTGTATCAAAAAGGATACTAAATGATGCATGGTTGTGTCATTACCACGTTCCTTGTAAACTAAGTTGAATTGACTCGACTGATTTACAGCATCAGAAACTAAAATTCACTCCTCTCCTGAGTTGACGTGATTGCAGTTTGCTTTCTCCAGTCTCTTCGATTGGTCCAATGGACCGGAATCGATTGGGATGGTGGCGTAAACTGAACAGTTGAAATGCTCATTCGTAATTTATTTTTGTTATAATTGATGTAGGATCCGTGTCATTACCACGTTCCTTGTAAGCTACAGTTGAATTGACTCGACTGATTTACAGCATCAGAAACTAAAATTCACTCCTCTCCTGAGTTGACGTGATTGCAGTTTGCTTTCTCCAGTCTCTTCGATTGGTCCAATGGACCGGAATCGATTGGGATGGTGGCGTAAACTGAACAGTTGAAATGCTCATTCGTAATTTATTTTTGTTATAATTGATGTAGGATCCGTGTCATTACCACGTTCCTTGTAAGCTACAGTTGAATTGACTCGACTGATTTACAGCATCAGAAACTAAAATTCACTCCTCTCCTGAGTTGACGTGATTGCAGTTTGCTTTCTCCAGTCTCTTCGATTGGTCCAATGGACCGGTATTGATTGGGATGGTGGCGTAAACTGAACAGTTGAAATGCTCATTTGTAAATTGTTTTTGTTATAATTGACGTAGGATCCATGTCATTACCACGTTCCTTGTAAGCTACAGTTGAATTGACTCGACTGATTTACAGCATCAGAAACTAAAATTCACTCCTCTCCTGAGTTGACGTGATTGCAGTTTGCTTTCTCCAGTCTCTTCGATTGGTCCAATGGACCGGTATCGATTGGGATGGTGGCGTAAACTGAACAGTTGAAATGCTCATTCGTAATTTATTTTTGTTATAATTGATGTAGGATCCGTGTCATTACCACGTTCCTTGTAAGCTACAGTTGAATTGACTCGACTGATTTACAGCATCAGAAACTAAAATTCACTCCTCTCCTGAGTTGACGTGATTGCAGTTTGCTTTCTCCAGTCTCTTCGGTTGGTCCAATGGACCGGTATCGATTGGGATGGTGGCGTAAACTGAACAGTTGAAATGCTCATTTGTAACTTATTTTTGTTATAATTGATGTAGGATCCGTGTCATTACCACGTTCCTTGTAAGCTACAGTTGAATTGACTCGACTGATTTACAGCATCAGAAACTAAAATTCACTCCTCTCCTGAGTTGACGTGATTGCAGTTTGCTTTCTCCAGTCTCTTCGGTTGGTCCAATGGACCGGTATCGATTGGGATGGTGGCGTAAAACTGAACAGTTGAAATGCTTATTCGCAATTTATTTTTGTTATAATTGATGTAGGATCCGTGTCATTACCACGTTCCTTGTAAGCTACAGTTGAATTGATTCGACTGATTTACAGCATCAGAAACTAAAATTCACTCCTCTCCTGAGTTGACGTGATTGCAGTTTGCTTTCTCCAGTCTCTTCGGTTGGTCCAATGGACCGGTATCGATTGGGATGGTGACGTAAACTGAACAGTTGAAATGCTCATTCGTAATTTATTTTTGTTATAATTGATATAGGATCCGTGTCATTACCACGTTCCTTTTAAGCTACAGTTGAATTGACTCGACTGATTTACAGCATCAGAAACTAAAATTCACTCCTCTCCTGAGTTGACGTGATTGCAGTTTGCTTTCTCCAGTCTCTTCGGTTGGTCCAATGGACCGGTATCGATTGGGATGGTGGCGTAAACTGAACAGTTGAAATGCTCATTCGTAATTTATTTTTGTTATAATTGATGTAAGATCCGTGTCATTACCACGTTCCTTGTAAGCTACAGTTGAATTGACTCGACTGATTTACAGCATCAGAAACTAAAATTCACTCCTCTCCTGAGTTGACGTGATTGCAGTTTGCTTTCTCCAGTCTCTTCGATTGGTCCAATGGACCGGTATCGATTGGGATGGTGGCGTAAACTGAACAGTTGAAATGCTCATTTGTAAATTGTTTTTGTTATAATTGACGTAGGATCCATGTCATTACCACGTTCCTTGTAAGCTACAGTTGAATTGACTCGACTGATTTACAGCATCAGAAACTAAAATTCACTCCTCTCCTGAGTTGACGTGATTGCAGTTTGCTTTCTCCAGTCTCTTCGGTTGGTCCAATGGACCGGTATCGATTGGGATGGTGACGTAAACTGAACAGTTGAAATGCTCATTCGTAATTTATTTTTGGTATAATTGATGTAGGATCCGTGTCATTACCACGTTCCTTGTAAGCTACAGTTGAATTGACTCAACTGATTTACAGCATCAGAAACTGAAATTCACTCCTCTCCTGAGTTGACGTGATTGCAGTTTGCTTTCTCCAGTCTCTTCGGTTGGTCCAATGGACCGGTATCGATTGGGATGGTGGCGTAAACTGAACAGTTGAAATGCTCATTTGTTATTTATTTTTGTTATAATTGATGTAGGATCCGTGTCGTTACCACGTTCCTTGTAAGCTACAGTTGAATTGACTCGACTGATTTACAGCATCAGAAACTAAAATTCACTCCTCTCCTGAGTTGACGTGATTGCAGTTTGCTTTCTCCAGTCTCTTCGGTTGGTCCAATGGACCGGTATCGATTGGGATGGTGGCGTAAACTGAACAGTTGAAATGCTCATTTGTAATTTATTTTTGTTATAATTGATGTAGGATCCGTGTCATTACCACGTTCCTTTTAAGCTACAGTTGAATTGACTCGGCTGATTTACAGCATCAGAAACTAAAATTCACTCTCCTGAGTTGACGTGATTGCAGTTTGCTTTCTCCAGTCTCTTCGGTTGGCCCAATGGACCGCTATCGATTGGGATGGTGGCGTAAACTGAACAGTTGAAATGCTAATTCGTAATTTATTTTTGTTATATTGATGTAGAATCCGTGTCATTACCACGTTCCTTGTAAGCTACAGTTGAATTGATTCGACTGATTTACAGCATCAGAAACTAAAATTCACTCCTCTCCTGAGTTGACGTGATTGCAGTTTGCTTTCTCCAGTCTCTTCGGTTGGTCCAATGGACCGGTATCGATTGGGATGGTGGCGTAAACTGAACAGTTGAAATGCTCATTCGTAATTTATTTTTGTTATAATTGATGTAGGATCCGTGTCATTACCACGTTCCTTGTAAGCTACAGGTGAATTGACTCGACTGATTTACAGCATCAGAAACTAAAATTTACTCCTCTCCCGAGTTGACGTGATTGCAGTTTGCTTTCTCCAGTCTCTTCGGTTGGTCCAATGGACCGGTATCGATTGGGATGGTGGCGTAAACTGAACAGTTGAAATGCTCATTCGTAATTTTTTTTTGTTATAATTGATGTAGGATCCGTGTCATTACCACGTTCCTTGTAAGCTACAGTTGAATTGACTCGACTGATTTACAGCATCAGAAACTAAAATTCACTCCTCTCCTGAGTTGACGTGATTGCAGTTTGCTTTCTCCAGTCTCTTCGGTTGGTCCAATGGACCTGTATCGATTGGGATGGTGGCGTAAACTGAACAGTTGAAATGCTCATTTGTAATTTATTTTTGTTATAATTGATGTAGGATCCGTGTCATTACCACGTTCCTTGTAAGCTACAGTTGAATTGACTCGACTGATTTACAGCATCAGAAACTAAAATTCACTCCTCTCCTGAGTTGACGTGATTGCAGTTTGCTTTCTCCAGTCTCTTCGGTTGGTCCAATGGACCGGTATCGATTGGGATGGTGGCGTAAACTGAACAGTTGAAATGCTCATTCGTAATTTTTTTTTATAATTGATGTAGGATCCGTGTCATTACCACGTTCCTTGTAAGCTACAGTTGAATTGACTCGACTGATTTACAGCATCAGAAACTAAAATTCACTCCTCTCCTGAGTTGACGTGATTGCAGTTTGCTTTCTCCAGTCTCTTCGGTTCGTCCAATGGACCTGTATCGATTGGGATGGTGGCGTAAACTGACGGTTGAAATGCTCATTTGTAATTTTATTTTGTTATAATTGATGTAGGATCCGTGTCATTACCACGTTCCTTGTAAGCTACAGTTGAATTGACTCGACTAATTTACAGCATCAGAAACTAAAATTCACTCCTCTCCTGAGTTGACGTGATTGCAGTTTGCTTTCTCCAGTCTCTTCGGTTGGTCCAATGGACCGGTATCGATTGGGATGGTGGCGTAAACTGAACAGTTGAAATGCTCATTCGTAATTTATTTTTGTTATAGTTGATGTAGGATCCGTGTCATTACCACGTTCCTTGTAAGCTACAGTTGAATTGACTCGACTGATTTACAGCATCAGAAACTAAAATTCACTCCTCTCCTGAGTTGACGTGATTGCAGTTTGCTTTCTCCAGTCTCTTCGGTTGGTCCAATGGACCGGTATCGATTGGGATGGTGGCGTAAACTGAACAGTTGAAATGCTCATTTGTAAATTGTTTTTGTTATAATTGATGTAGGATCCGTGTCATTACCACGTTCCTTGTTAGCTACAGTTGAATTGACTCGACTGATTTACAGCATCAGAAACTAAAATTCACTCCTCTCCTGAGTTGACGTGATTGCAGTTTGCTTTCTCCAGTCTCTTCGGTTGGTCCAATGGACCGGTATCGATTGGGATGGTGGCGTAAACTGAACAGTTGAAATGCTCATTTGTAATTTATTTTTGTTATAATTGATGTAGGATCCGTGTCATTGCCACGTTCTTTGTAAGCTACAGTTGAATCGACTCGACTGATTTACAGCATCAGAAACTAAAATTCACTCCTCTCCTGAGTTGATGTGATTGCAGTTTGCTTTCTCCATTCTCTTCGGTTGGT